CATGTTTTCAAATATCGGTTTGTCCATTTTATTAATTTAATAATTTGTTTATATTGTAAACCTAACATGCATTCCAGAATTTAAAATATTACAGAAATGTTATACATATTATTACAGAAGTTATACATTAAAATTACGCGACCAAGTCGTCGCATTTACTTTGCTTGCTTATATCCATTATACAGAAATAAATTATACACTTGTTTATATTCAAAGATTAGCGTTTGTTTTGTCTCAATTGTATTTATATATGTATATAATTTATTTTTCGATTAATTTAGTTGAATTCATTTGAATGTACAGCCGTGAATGTGGATTAGTTGTGTGTTTTGTGTGTGGACAAGATGGCGGAGCTCATGAAAAACCAATCAATTTATTTTATGTACGAGTACAGCTTTTATTTATTCATTCAAAAAATTAGCAAAATGTATCTCGCGCGAGCGCGGAAACGCCGTAAAAATAAGGAGAACAAAATATTACATACAACTAAAAAGTAAATCGTGTGTCGTCCTTCCGCTTCATGTCTCGATCAAGTTTTTCATGTGTAGTGTGTGTGTGTGTGAACAATGTACAAATACAATATTGTGTAAAATAATCATAATATATTCAATAGTCGCTCCCTAAACGCAAAAATTAAAAATCATCATAAAATATAGAGCGGGATGTGTACTCATCGCAAAAATAATCACAATCATTTAGATATACATCGATTAAAACGAATTTATACAACGAGAAGCCAGTCATTATGCCGATCGCAGCGCGCTAGACCATAGCTTCTGCCTGCCTTCTCGATCGCAAGTAATTATTTAATAATATTATACATAGAATACATAAACGTAATTAGTTGTAATTCTATAAATACTAAATACTCGTAAAAAATGAAATCAATTATGTCATTCATGAAAGCCACCATGTTTGTTTGCTCGAAAGAAATCAAAAGAAAACTAGTTTTGCGAGTGGACAAGAGAGAGCCGTTTTGTTTGAATCATTTTTTTAAGTTTGCGTGTGATCCCCGTCCAGCTAGTACTAATGCAACAAATCAACGGGAAACAAATTGACAAGTCTACAAGCAGTCGGTGTGCGTGCCATTTGCGTGCTTTTGTTTTCATCAGCGAAAGCCCGCTTCATGACAGTTGCAACCCCTGCTTAGAGCGTCTTGTAATTGTTCCGTCTTGCATTTCTCCTGTGTCTATCTCACTAGAATTGTAATGTCAGTAAGTATTTAGTTTATCTCGTGTCGTGCTATTGTTTATGAATTGTTACAGCCAGATCGCTCAAAATACATACAATATTAATATTATTCATTAGTCTACAATCTTCTTTATCGATACTAAGTTAATTAATCATAGTTATAAATTACATTACATTATCATATCGTTTATAATATTAGTATTTCCAAACGGCTTATTAAAATTTTACAAGGATATTTTACACAATTATACAATATATTGTTGTTGGTTGTGTTTCACGTTTGTATGTCTTCCATTTTCATGTCTGTATGTTTCGCCTGTGTACAATTTTGTTTTGTTTGTTTGATAGCGTTTTGTCAATCGTAAAAACGGAATAAATGAAGAATTTACACTTTACAGCTTCATGTGTTATTTTTTAGTTAACTTTACATCAGTCTCAAGCCACGAATTTCCGAGAAAGTCTCCTTGCCTTCAAGCCTCCTTCGAATCCTCCATTCCGCGCCTCTTATCCTTTACTTAGCGTTTACATTATCATTATTCAATTACAATTATTACAATTCGTTTATTACATCCCTTCATTCATTTACGTCCCACCAAATCGTTTCTGTTATGATTTTCCTATGTGGTGCGTTCGCGTTTAATTCGTTCGGTAAGTCCGCAAGTCGTCGTCGATCGCCCGGAAAATGCGCGCCAAGAGCAACGGACGCCATTTCGCACGGAAACCGGAAGCACGGTGCGCGCCAGCTCGCGTGTGTGTCCCGCAAACCTCTTCACCCCGGCTCGTTAGTACGCAAAACTTATCATCAATCAAATATTCACAAAAATTACAAAATGTACAATATATCGACAATATAATTTCTCTTGCGTTTGTTTCATTTTCATGTTTCGGCTGCTGCGGCGTTGTCGTATCGCGATATTAAATTATTTAAAATATATACTTTACATACAATATAGAAACATTAATATAAATTTTCATCTCGATAGTTCGATCTCTTTACAATCAATTAATATACAGGGGAGGGGCGTACTATTTCTGCGATCTTTGTAAAATTTAAAAATAGAAACGCGTCCGTTCGAATAGATGCCTCTAATAAATATAATCTGCCGGCGCGCCAGCACCGGGGCACAAAGTTATTTACAATTGATGATTTATTACAACAACCCTGTGATTCTGCGCCTCCGCGTGTTCGTGTGTGTGTGAGTGTCTTTAATACATAATATACATGGTTCGATCGTGAGTGTAATTACAATTATATTTAAACTATATACCGTGCGGCATCGTGTTCGGAATTCGTTCGTGTTTTTCGCGTTGTTTACTTCCGGCTGGCTTCCGTGGCGAAACGTGACCGTGCTCGTCGCGTCTAGCGAATGATTTCTTTTATATTATATAAACAATTTTCCCTTTGCTTTTTGTTTACCTTCGTCTAAGTACAAAATGGTTATATTTTACATGATTATACAACTATGAAACATTTCTTTTTATATAAATACAATTTAATTTAATATCGGTTATAACATATATACATATCACGATGATGGGCGCGCTTCGACTTGCGGACGACGACCGCGGCGACGCAATATTGGCTATTATTCAATATTTTGTTTAAAATTTATCCCTCGCATTCGCATTTGATTCGCACTTGTCTCAACAATAGTGCCAACGAGATTTCATGTTCGCGTTTACTTCTTCTCAATGCTTGTATGGTTTGTATTCTCGTGTGTTTCTTAGTTTTGCGTTAATCTTTAATTTTAAATGTAAGTGTTCTCTTTATATCGATAATGTTAGCTGTTTGGAAATGTTGTTAGTGTATAGAATAATTTGTTTTACAATTAATAGCAATATGAACAAAACTATTTTACATATAATACAAATAAAGGGACACTAGAATATGTACACATATGTTTTTGTCTTAATGTTTTGTTTTTGACATACAGCATTATTACAAGAAACACGAACTGTTCTAAAACAAAGCGCCCAAATACGACGCTTGTTTATACGCTCCACCTTCTATATTCAAAATGTGTACTGTTATAATAATCACACTGGTATAATTGATGCACTATTACTTTTTTTAGTTTCAATTGCTGCTGTTTTATCGTGTTTTATTGAGTTATCGTGAATGCGAAAATGGTTTTATTAATGTGTCGCGTGTGTGCTTTATCGAATGCAGGTTCTTTCTGATAGATGAACGGTGACAACCTAAACCGTGAATAAGTCGAAACTCAGAAACGTCTATACACAATCTCTAATACAAGTATACAATATAATATACACTTAGACCATTTATACTTATAGATTTCCTTCGTGTTGAAAGATACTCATCAAAGATTTATAAATGCAATTGCCAGTCGATGCAAGTTGTGAGTCGAAAATCGGCGCTTTGGTAAAATTTTCCAAATGCAATTCAAATTTAATGCAACTGTTACCGTTTTATTTCACAGACAATTGAAACTCAATGGAATGTCTTTGACATCATGTCAAGTTTCAGATCAATAAAATTTTACTCTGTGACGCTTCATCGTTCTTCACTTGTTGCTGAATAATATGTGTGTGTACTCATGCACCTAACAAATGATGTATGCATTTTGCAGTTTGGAAAAAGTTTAGTTTGAATTTACGTTAAGTTGTTTACTTTGACTGAATACTCGTTACATACGTTTATAATTATACGCTAAGACTGCCAAAATGAATAAGTCAAAAGTCCACTACTCGCTATTTCGTATCCGCTAATTGGTAGATAATTCAATGCTTCAATGTTTTAGATATTTCAAATACTTCTTACTCCTTCGATCGTGTAAATCGCGCATCGGTTATGCATTAGTAAATAGCATGTATTATTTCATCGTTAAAAGTCACTAGAAAAACATCGCGCGCGTGTTGTGTGTTTAATGCATTTACTTGTTACTTGAATTTACGTTTTCGAATAGGGATAGTAATAAATGTGTTTTAGAGTTTAGTAGTAGTAGAGTTAGGTAAATAGTCGAGTATATAGAGTAAATTCTTGATGGACCTTCTAATTAACATCCATGCAAATCAAACTAATCTACGAATCGGAACATCGCAATTTGTCGCAATCGCTTCTCAATAAGTTGCCTACTATTTGATTATAACATTTGGTTTGATTTGAAAACAATGAACGCAAATATTTTCAAATCAATGAGAGAATGCCGCCACCCAATCAACGTAATGCAATTGAACGCAATCAGATAGTTTCACGTGATCATAATTTAGATTGAAAGTTTTGAATCGTTGCCGCGAGTAAAGTAATTTTCAGCGCATGCATATGTCTTGTATGGGTTGGTTGTGTATACAAATGCGGTCGGTTTCGCGAACATTCTGAATCGCTTCAAATGTATGCGCATTGTGTATTCTTTTGTTGTTTCATTTTGTTTTGTTTTGTTGTCAGAACTATTCCTGAGGATTCGATATCACAATTATTAATGTCAGGATGATCTGTGTGTGTTTTCGTCAATGATTCGCTTTTGAACGTACCAGAAAACGTACCGGGTGAAAAAAGAAATGATTTTATCCTAATATTTACATGCGATTTTGAATTTCACTTCGTGTACTAGTTAGTCTTTCTAGTCTTTCCATTTTGTAAAATTTCATGTTATTTCGGTTAAAGTTTCGGCGGTGTGGAGTGTTCGAAAAGTACTGAAGAGATTCGAAATGATCCTGCACAATAAATAATTTAAAAATAATATGTACACGTTACTTAAATGAACACGCAGTCATGAAATATTGAGAAAAAGAAAAGTTCCAATGAACAGCTTTCCCACTTCCAAAGTGCCGTCCGTGGTGCAACGCCGCACAATTCAAATCAATTTTTATTTTGTTATTAATGTTTATACTCACATCGCATCTTGCGCTACCTCGCATAGCGGAAATTTGTTTTCTACAAAATTTGGTCTAGAATGCAATAGGAACGCTTCAAGATTGACGTGTGCTTTGCAAAACCGAAGATTAATGCACATATAATATCTGTGCCGGGTGTAGCCGAAAGCTCGGGATGAACGAAATTAACTCTACGAATACATGATCATTCTAAACTAAACCTAAAGCCCTAAATGTTACTATATGGGTAATAAAAAACATGCTAAAATACAATAAACGATAAAAAATAAATGAAATACTGGTTCCATGCAGTAGAATCGTCAAGAATGCTAGCAACAACCTTGTCGCCACTCATTCTTCCGGTGTTTGTTATACATACTGCGATTGGTCGGAAAAAGAGAAAAAAAAACTTAAAAGTTACGCTTTGTGTATGTGTGTTTTAGCCTTAGCATTTCTCCGATCGCATTGCAATCGGTCTGTCGTTCGACGACGATGTCCTGTTGGAAGCAAAGGCCGTCCGCTTACATGACACCGTTCGTCGGCGGGCCAATTGGGCCCAGCTCACCTCCGATGTTACCCAATGGTCCGGGCGCCTTCATGAAGAACTTCTCCAGCTTAGCAATGATGTGCTTGCCGTAAGTGTACTTGCGGAGCGAGTTCAGGTGCGGCCTGATCTTGTGCATTAGCACCTTGCGCTGCGTTGGTTCGCTCACATCGATCATCTTCTGTACGACGTAGTTGGCGTACTGATCCTTCATCATCACGTGGAGAGCGCTGAAATGCCACAAAATGGACGTTATTACAACAACAATTTCCTAGAAAACACGTTTCTGGGCACAGGGTAGGAAAACGACGAAACAATTTCCCGGTAGAAGAGTGAGATAATAACATATCTTACCTATCATTGAAGCCACAGACTTCATCGATTAATAAAGCCCGCTCGTTGCGGGTTGCATGTGTTACACACTTCTCAACAACATTGCTGGCGAACTTGTGCTGACTCAGCACCAGCACCTTGCCGCGAACGGTGTTAATTAGTTGAGACTTATCCTCCGGTTTGCCATGTTCTGTAATGCAAAATGACTTATTCCCCATTCTATGACGCTACCGCCTTCACGTGGTTAATGGTAGGTTACATTCGGTACAATTCTTACCTAGCACATGTTGAATAACATAGTTGCCAAACTGGTCCTGGATAAGCTGATCCGTGTGGGTGTGCAGCTCGGCAAGGATGGGCGAAGTTTGCTCAGGCGTGCAGTGCTCCAGGATGCGCTGAATCACCCTGCATCCGTACGGATGTGTCGACAAGCTGTACACCTGCCCGGCAAATGACTGAATGATGAACTGCAACGCATTCGGGTCCACACATTCGATGCACTTCTGTACCACGTGGTTTCCATTTTGGTCCTTGACACATTTCAGCACGTGTCCATCTAATTCTCGCACAATTTCCTGTTGTTGTTCAGCAGGAATAGATTCCAGGGCCTTCTGGATGACGCGACATCCATACATTTGCAGTGCTAGAGGCAATACGTGTCCGCGCACCTTTGCGCTAATGTGGTCTTTGCTCAGCAGTGCCAAACTCGAAGAACTTCTGGATGACGTAATTACCAAAACGTCCGTCATCAAGTTGTAGGCGGCCGACAGGATCTCATTGAAAACCATCTGTTTCTCGTTAGTGGTGGCGCGCTCCAATTTTTGCTGGATAAAGCGCGATCCGTGCTGGTCCTGCGAAAACTCGACGATGTGATTCGCGAGATCGCGAAGCTGCAGATTCGGAAAGCGGTTGTTGCGGAAGTCCTCAAGGAGGCGAGATCTGCCCTGTGGGCCTTTGTCCAATGCGTTTGACACGGTGGTGTTCAGCGAGTTGATCTTAGTGAAGAGCGAGCTGTTGGAGCCGAACATAGTAGTGGCGGAGCTGAGACCAGAAGCTACCGAGTTGCGATATTTGGCCTCGGCGCCAGGCGCGGCGGAAAGCACACGCGAATTCACCAGGTTGCCGAGCTGTAGCGGTGCTGTGGGCGGCGGAGTCAAGGAGCCCGTCAGAGGACTGGGGCTGCTGCCAAGGCCGTAAGAAGCGGGCCATTTCGGGCGGTACTCCAACGATGGCGAGAACGCGGACGTGTTGCGATCAAATGAGTCGCGGCGGCCAGTTGTGGTCGACGTCAGGCCGAGCCCTAATGAGAACATAGGCATGTTACAAACGAACGTCATCGCGCGGCGGTGTTAGATACCGAAGCAAATAGAGCGAGACGCTCTCAGCGTGATTGTTAATGTTAATATTAGTATCGCTTTTATTTACAAGATGAAAATTTGAATCAAGATTGTGTGACCACCGAAGCTGATCGCACAAAACTGTTTCACGCGGGGTGAAAACCACACTTTATACCCCAAAATGCAAATGCGGACAGCGCAAATTGTAACTGGTCAAGCCGGTTCAGAAGCAGACCACAACACACGGCGTTTCCGCATCGCAAATTGCGAGTATAAAATAGGTCCGGTGATTGTTAATAATGTACCTGTATGCAAAGACGTGGTGGTTGCGGCCGAAGAGCCAATCGTACCAAGCGAGGAACTGCCGAATGGGGCAGACGGGGGCGCGTGCAATGTAGGGAACAAACCTGAACCTTGGGCCACACCTAACCGACACCGAAAGTTAGTAGATTACACAACACGTAAACAAACACCAAATGTTTATATACAAAACACGTCGGTCTACAACCGCCGTGTGAAAACAATTAATGCGGTATTTGTTGTAAATTAAGCACGTGTTAGATTGCAAGCGTAATGGAACAGCTGTGATTAATTAAACAGAAACTTACCTCAAGCGTAGTGCCGTTGACAGAGGTGTTCACGTTGGCACCGTAGAGGTTCTGTGGTGTGCTGGAGTACAATGAGGCGGCGGCCGGTGTCTGTCTGGAGGTTTGCGGCTGGACGAGCACCGGCGCTGGCGAAACGAGTCGCATCGGTGTGCCGTTGCGCATCGCAGCGCCCTGCGCCATGAGGATGGGAGCCGCGTTCTGATCATAGTAGGGAAGGATGTAACCACTAGGTACTTGTGGCTGAAAATAATTAAGTGACACATGTGACCACCTTGTTGAAATTTCACATTACGCAGTCTTTGCATACCTGTACTTGTTGCTGAGCCTCGGCGGTGCCGTTTGGCGTAAGTGGTCTCCGTGCGCCGTTGCTTGCACCCTGCTGGATGAGGTTTGCCGGATACACGCCCCACGGGGCAACACCATAATATGGCGGCGCCGGGATGAGATACTGTGGATCTTGCTGGGCGTTTACCAAGTATGGGCCAGCTGCCTGCGGGAAAGCGGCCGCCTGCTGCTGCTGCGCCAAGTATTGATGCTGTTGTTGTTGAAGAAGCTGCAGCTGCGTGGCGGCGCTCGGTGTCGTCGCTTGCGTTTGTTGCGAGCGAAACAATTGCTAAAATTGGAAAAAAATAATACGTTAGTATTGCGCAAATTTATTTGCAAAAACAAGTTAATATAAAACTTCATTAGCCTTCACTGTACGCAAGATCAAACAGCCCTCCACCTTTACCGACATGATACTAATTGCTACCGCAATTATTATACGTTAAATTGTAACCAAGATCAATAATACATGCAGCATTGCATTATTAATGAACAATATCAATAACGAATGTTCGCCCGAAGTGGAGCAATACTCATCTACAAATGGGAAATTGGAGAAGTGCCGGTGTGGGACGCCATGCCGATATTACAAATGTTATTATGTCTGGCGGGCAGACATCTCCTGCGAAATTCATCAGTTATTAATCATATTATTGTACGCGCGGCCAGCGCACGGCATGCATTTGCGCGTAATTGAAATTCCATCGATTGCTCATTGTGTTCGTCGGACACAGGCAGCAGACAGCGCGCTAGCTATGCGCACAGAAAGCGTGCGTTCAACTGAAATATTGAAATATTAGCCTTGCTGAGAATGCCGGCAGCCCGCTAGGTAGAAAGAAAACAATTCAAATGTGGTTTAAGGCCAGCAAAACAATCCAATTATCTGACGTAAACTTAAATCACATTTAGGAGAGAGTAATCACAAACAAAATGCTTTCATATATAGGTATATACCAGTAAATGCCACAAAAAGTATTCATGTTTAAACTCGATGATAAGAAAATTAAAATATAAATAACGAGTTCAAGTGATGCACAAAACACGTTCAATAATGTCCTGATTGTGAGAGATTTCAATGCTCGACTTACTTTATACGCTCACAAAGAATCGAGTACACATGTGTGAGAGAAAAAATAAAAGCGCAGACAAACCGCAATCCAAAAATAAAAACAAGCGCCGCGCCGTTGAGGAATTTTACAGAGGTTACAAAAGCGCGAAATTGGCCCTGACCGTGACACACAACTCTCGACACGACGGGCGCGCTCTGCACAACGGCTTATGCAACAACGCAGCTCAGCGCGTACTCTCGCGAGAGAATATTGCGAGGTTCGCGTACACAGCGCGTAATTAACACGGCGCGCGCGCCCGGTTCGTTGCTTCCTGGTGCCGTAAACAACGCACGGCGGCGTAGCACGTACGCATAAAGCATCCGAACGTGTGGAAAATGCAATTGCATGCTAAAGCAATGCAGGCGCGCACGCGTGCAGCATCCGAGACGCGAATAACTCAACAGTCAACACCTTTCACCGATCGGCAATTGTTGCGTGCGGACAAAACCTTTGCTTTGAGAAAAGGTACAAAACTCACAAGTAATGGTGGACAGCTTCGTTTAGATTTCGTTTGATGTATCGTTAACTGTTTGCGTTCTATCAACGCCGCGTGGAATTCCAGCCAGATCAAAGATAGCGTGTAAATTGACTGCTCGACTTATTAAGCGAAAGAAAGTAGTTAGGCGAGCAGGCAAAGAAAAGAAGTCGGAATGTGAGGTTAGCAACACACCACAACGCCGTAGGCAACCTTTATGACGCGTAGACACACCAGAGAAATATGGCTCTTTTCGGCGAAATTTATAACAAGCCGGATACAACTAGATCACTCAACGCATACAAAATTATTAATTATATGTCTACCTTTCACTGTTAAGTCAAGCCAAACGAAGCGTTTAATGTTTACAAAATTCATTAGTCAAGGCCCACCAATCTAACCTCAAAAATATGAAATTTAATTTTTAACGATATTTAATCTATAAACGTGTACTTCAATTATAATAGCCGTTAATCGAAGGTTAAGCGAACAATACACGCCCATAAACTCTTAGATCGACGAATAAGGTCGCACATTCTCCAATTACGCAATGCGCAAACTCCGCGTGCGTACGATAGTACGGCCGGAAAGAAAGCTGAATAATGCAGTCGCACGTAATGCGAATTTATTACGATCGTCTGATAGTCCGGTCAGCATGCGGCTAATAACTGCATAATGTGCAACTGTAAAGCGAAGCGTATAAAATGTTGCCTATACAGCACAACACACGTACACAATTATTACACAGCGTTTAAGATTCTACGATAGCAAAAGGCATGCAAATGTGTAAACTGTGCAAGGTACTAAAATCTTTAAATATATATTAATATCAGAAAAAAGAGCTGTGGTTTAACATTATTTGCTCTGATTTCTACGAAACCTTTCAAATGTACGTAGATTCGTTATGTATTGTATTTGAATAGCGTAAAGTTGAGGTTAACAATTCAATTATTGCGTATGTTTAAGCGCGTTTTGTTTCAGCCGAGTGAAACAGGCTGACGCTAATTGACAGGCCTGGCTAAAGTTAGCGCAATCGCAAAGTTTGAACTTTTATTTCCGTGCTTTTTGTGTTTGCTCGCCATCTCGGACGCATGTTAAAAGTCTGGCAAAAGTCGAAAGTTTAGCATCAAACTTCTCAAAAGACGATCACGCCGTCAACCGTGTGCAAAAGTACCACCATTAGAATGATTAGAATCTAAATTCAGTGCGCGTGCGCATTCAGAATTAAATTCGAAAATCTTGATTTATATGATGAGTATATATGAAACAAAAAGTTCTTTCTACTCGCACAGGCGGCACGTCGCGATCTCGTCATTGGTGTGTTTTTATTACATTAGAATCTTATAAGTTGGCGTGCAATGCAATTACGTATGAATTACAAAGTGGCAAATTTTGAATGATGAACTTTTAATGTGGCGACGCCGCCGGCGCGCCGCAGGAAGTCATCGCTTGCATTACATCTCGAGCGCGCGCGCAAAACTTTTCTCCGTAGCGAGGCGAATTAATGTCGTTTGCATCTCGGCGCGGCTCTTTTCGATTCCGCTTATCTTCGCGGCGGCAAGTTACGACCAGATTCTTTGTACCGCTGCCAACACACAGTTGAGCAAACGGCGAAGAACTTTGAGTGCAACCGGCGTTAAGCATAACTGTAACTGATCTCCTGACCACCATTATGCTCCGCACGTACGATTGCGCGCATTCGCATCGGTTCGTTTCCTTGTGGCCTGTGCACGCCGCGATCATCTATTTAAATAGATGTTTATTTTTATCCGCCACGGAGGATGATCTTTTATCGCGATAAAACTCAACTAAAAATGATTTACAGCCGCCTGGTTCAAATTCAAATTCACTTAAATTGAGATATATACATGGTGTTGTAGTAATAAGAATTCTTGGGATGATATATGTGTTGAATGTTGCATTTATAGCAATTACCGAAGACATTTATTTGGGCAGCGTGCTGGTAAGAGTGATTTTATGTAATGCGGCTGATTTTGCAGCAACACGTCGTCGTCGAATATTGGCAGTGAGTCAAAGGCAATTTGTTTGATGTTTAGACATCTTACCATGTGTTGGAGGCTTTTCGATCAGAGGAGAAGCCCCACCATCCGGCCATGCACGCATTTTTATTTTTAATCGTTTGATACATGCAAAGTGAGCCCTGAACCGAACCGAAAAGCGGTTCGATTCGTGCTGCTTAACTTTCGAGATTGCGTGTGTTAACTAACCACCCACATAACCTTATCCTTGACCTGTTGCTGTGCAAAAACGTCGCGCTTTTCTACCTTTTCTTTGCCATTCTAAACCGAGCCCATAGTCAAGTCCAGTCCAATTCAGCGCTGAATGTTAGCATATTTCGTTATGCTTTAGCATACGATGTTTTGTTGCGTTCCATGGCCGGACATAAAAAGTGCATTATGAATTTGTTTTCAGTCTTGCGGACCGGCGACATGCCGGCCACCCACTGGAAGCTATTTGCTCGCGCAACTCTCGTCGGCGTTATTTTGCATTCGTTTGTGCACTTTGTGTGTGCGCGCGCGCGTTCGAAGTAATCAAAGGAAAAATGAATGCAAGTCGCTTTATTATACGCGTCCGTGCGATATGAGCGGCAAACGCAATTAACATAAAGCCGCAACCATAAGGGCGACCCGGCAAGTTGGCGGGATTCGTGTACGACGCGCACATAGTTGCGTTTTAATAGCCTGCACGTCACTTACACACATCGCTAAGTGGATGCGTTAAGTTAGAGACCGACCTGCACGAACAACTTGCAAGTTTCTGATCAAAAGCACGTTTCTTGCAGGAAAACTAAAGTCCGGAGTCAAAATAAATTGAAATTTGGCCGTACAAAAGGAGCAGCTGACTTCAGCTGTCCGAGTATTTCAATTTGCATGCCATATCACAAAAACATCAGTAACTCAATATTTCTTTGACGTATTTGAAAATAGAATTTCGCACACGCATTTATTTTACTATTGGAAGACAGTGATCAAAAATATTCATAACTCGGCCGGTAAATATTACATTAATTGATTATTTCAGCTTAAGCTGAAATAAATTGAGTGAAAAAAATTTATAATAATATGCTTCACCTATACCGCGACTAAAATCCGCCGTGAGTCGCGTTTATTAAGCAGCTAATGATCATAATCAGAGCATAATGTCCATGTCAAAAGTGTCCGCCGAGCCAACACGGCTTAAGCAAACTTAGACACAGTTACCATAACTTAAGTCGAGAGTCGTGTGTAGCAAGTTGTAATAGTCCACTTTCTTTTCTAATTTAATTCAAAACACAACCACACAACCAAAGGCGACGAGGCATGAAGAGTGTAATAAAAGTATTTATTAAAAGTGAATACAGACCTTAACACATAATAACCATCATAAATATTTACTTCAATTTATATTAAAATGACAAGTCAAAATTACTATTATCACAATTTTTAAACTTCGTTAATATTTATTATTGAATGCTGCATATTCATGGAAGCGAAATTCATGTACTGGCAGTACACTATTCTATTAGGTGTGAAATGTAAACTGTGCAGATGCGGACGATACGGTTGGCGATGAAAAGTGTCAGGCGCAGTACTAGCGCAATGTGCATAAATTAATTTCGCAATTAATTTTCCATCTCGTCGAACGTGCAAAACGCTAAACACATTCGTTTGTTCGATCGTTACACATTTTGCAACCGGACATTTT